TTTTACACGATACATACAAGTTGTTTCATGTCCATCCCATAGTTATCTACACCTTATCTTGATGCCTCAATCTAAGCTTTTTAATATAAGCCACAAGAGATTATTTTGTATAAAATTATGGCGAAGGTATATCATATCTGCCACATGCAGCAGGATTTCTCATGCCACTCGTAGTAACTTGACTAACTTCACATTTGCAAAGACCTTAATTTGTTCCTTCATTCAGTAGCAGAGCTCTTATCTGGGCATACTAAAACCTTTAGTACTTTGACAAGCACCCAATACGAAACAATTTTGATGTTTCCTTATTTTATTTACATGTTATACACAGCAAGATTTGTACTTTTGATGGGGATTCACATGCATGTTAAATGCCCTGTTAATGGCTTTATATATAAGTTTTTTTTTAATATTATTATTATTATTATTTATATTATTTATATAAGCTATAGTTATATGATTAGGTTTCCATTTTTCTTTGGCCAATTAGAGATATAATTGTGGAGGCTAACTTGTGAGGAAAAAGATTTAGAGAATGCATGTTGTATGTGTTGAAGATGCGTGACCAGCTCATCTAATAACTTAAGTTCTTAGAGAAAGCACATATTAAATTATATTATATCTCAGTATGCTCCCTCACGTGTGGGTGTGATTCTTTATCACGGGCCAAGCACGTGATTATCTTTTCTGATAATGAGTGGCAGTGAAACTCGAAATCAGAACTTCTGCCTCGTGTGTGGGCTATCTTTAGCAGTATGATAAAATCTTCTGTTTTCAGCACGTTTTCCATACTTTACTGGAAGACTGACATTGAAGATGGGACGTTTTCTTAACAGTGCTTGTTCTAAAATTGTTTTATGTCAGGCTCTTCGAGCATCAAAGTCAGAGATGGAACTTCTGGGAAGGTGTATACTGTAGGTGCTCACAATATTTCATCAGCTTCTACGTTGAATTCAAGAATGGTTTTTACGTTCTTTATATTAGCAATCTCCCTCCTATGCAATTTGTTGAAGTGAGATACCAGACAAAAAACTGTATAGGGAGTCATTGTTGTACCATATCATTCCGCAGTTCGATGATTCTTTGGAATAACAAGTCTTATACCTCATCAACATGATTCTTGACAATTACACAAAATACAAACAACACTGGTTTTGATGAAACATACAGTTTCTCTTCTGTTCTAACACACTGGAACCGACCTCTCGTAGATGCTGTTGGTCTAAGTATTCCTTTCTTATTCTGTTTCATTTCCTGCCTGTTCTCTTGGGCCATGTGATAGAAGATGCTAATAGTGAAGAGATGCAAGCAAATGCTTGATAGGATAGTTTTTTTTTTTTTTTTGATGTTATTTATGAGTATTTTCAATATTAATGTAAATCAATTGCTGTTTTTTGTTTTGTTTTTATGAGGGATGTCATGTTAATGTATTTCTTAATTTATGAGTGCTAGATAAGAAGTGTTGTTTCAGCCTCAGGCTGCATTTGCAAGCAGAGTGAAGATTGTGTACGAGTGTTATGTTATATAATCCCTCTTTCATTTTGTTGACTTTTTTCATAAAATATATAACAATATACTTTCAGGAACTAATATTAGATTGAATATATTCCAACATAATACTGATTACTAAAGATTATGATGACGCATTGGAGGGGAAAGGAATCCTTTTTTTTTTTTAATTTCTCGCCAGGTGTTCGGAGTCTATATTGGAGTACCAACTGAATCTGAATCGTGCAGTATAGGTTTCGTTTGGGCGTGACACTTTCAATAGGATTTCCTCTACAGCCAGTACTGAATGTGGATTGTGCAAATAATAATAAATCACGATTAAAGATTTTCTTGTTGGACTCTCGAAATCGATTAAAGATTTTCTTGTTGGACTCTCGAAATTCAAACTATGTTTACTTAAAGTTTTGTTTGGGTTGTATTAAGGGAAGGAAATAAAAGTTGATATATATTCCCAAAGTATGTATAGAAACATAGATTTAATAATTACAATTATACAAGTGTTAAAATTAGGAGCTCATAAAGTTGTCCTCAAGAACTGTACGACAAAATATATAACAGCCAGCAGCAATGCAATTTGGTAAAAATCTCTTTGGAAACTGTCATCCCTTTGAAAGAACTGCATCCTCATACAGGTACACAATTTTTGTCAGATGCAAAATTTTCTTCATATATAAAACATAATCTCCAAAATTATATTTTTTTATGGTCACAATTTATGTGGTGATATTTGACTGCAAACACGTATAGTTCAAGAGAATTTTTTTTTTACAATTAGTAGTTTAAATCAAATTACAGACATTTTGTATGTTATAAATAAATCATAGTTCATAAACGTGTCATTTAACTAGGCTTCATCTGCCATAAATATCTTCCAACTTTGGTATGCACAAGCAGACACCTAAACTTGTATAGAGTTGAGCAAGTATACACACGTCAAACTTGGCGTCCTATGAGGCAATTCACATCCTACACGACATCCTATGTGTATTATGTCAATGTAGGACATGTGTGTATACTTGTTCAACTTTATACAAGTTCAAGTATACTTGTGCATACTCAAGGTGAGAAGGTATAGATGCAAACTGAGACCAAGTTAAAAGGACTTGTATATATATTGTGTCTATTAAATAATCTAAACGAAAAAGGGTAAAAAGAATGTTCTTAGCTATGTGAAATTGAACAAAAGTGTCTGCCATCAATATCTAATTAAGCCTATGAATTTGGACAGTAAAATAATTTCAAGATTTTGAGACTTTATAAAGAAGAAATACCTTCGCTGGATCACCATAAGGGTCAGGATAAACATCCATGTTTTTATTCTCTTTAGCAGATTTAGAACTCAAGTCATTAACAATATCAACCACATCTTTTCCAGCTTCAACAGTAGCGAATAGTCGTCGCGATGCCCAGAAATAAGCTTGAGCAATGATGGATGATCCTGATAAATCCCATTCCTCTTCATGCTCAACTACTTGTCCACTTATTTGATTCAAAGTGAATCTTGAATTTACTTTGATCATCAAATCCCCTCCTATGCTACCAATCAATGACTTTGCTTTTCCTTTTATTGTCCACTTAATATTCAACACACTTGTTGATAACATCACCATTTCTTGCACACTCTGCATACCAATACAATACAATACAATGTTATAGACTCCCCATGAGCGAAAAGTGCAACGACTTAAAGTTCAGGTCAGGGGCTTAGCTACATAATCAGAGTGTCATGCGGAAGCTAATAATTGCAAAACATGATAACGATATGTACTATACAATGTTACTGAATGCTATAGCCTACTACTCCTGATGAGAGAACGGTGCAACGACTTAAGCTCAGGCCAGGGGCTTAGCTACATAATCAGAGAAAGCTAATAATTGCAAATCATGATGACGATATTATTGAATGCTATAGACTCCCCATGAGCGAAGTGTGCAACGACTTAAAGTTCAGGTCAGGGGCTTAGCTACATAATCAGAGTGTCATGCGGAAGCTAAAATTTGCAAATCATGATGACGATATGTAGAAAACTATACTAAAACAATCATAATATGTTGCATTTATATATGTCTTCGTTTATATAAATATATAAAACTTGTAGAAATGAAAGAGATGTTAAAACGTTACCGGTTTAGGATTCTGCAGAGCATCAGTTATCCATAATGGTCTCTTGTACTTGTCTCGTCCTGTAAAACTTCTCACTGGATCCTGCATTTCATTGTGTGACACAGTACATTAACGTAGAAGATTAGTAGATAATCGAACGTTGACTTGCATTTTACACAAGTTATTTGCTTGTTTGTCAATGTCTTATCAAATTAGTTATGAACTTATATACACTGACAACGTAAATCATCATGTTGTTTAAAAGTGTGACATCATTACGAGTATCTCAACATATATATATATACACACACCGCACACGTACCTTATACTTGACAGAGACAGCAAAGGTACCGAGGGCACGATTGCCTTCACGTAGTTCGAGAATATCTCGAACTAGCTGCCTAGCAGTAGCTTCCACAGAAGGGCTACTAATGCATTCAAACTCATCACACAATTCCCCAAAATCCATTCCATCTACAAGTTTATCAGCATCTTCAGTAGCTAACTCTGTTCTATTCGAATCATTGATAACTGCCACACACACACACATTAGAGTAATGAGATCGGTTCAACTGAATTCAGTATTTTATTTTTTTACAAAAAAAAAATGATAAACTTTAAACTTGTCATTTTACCTCGGAACGAAAATCGATGAGGTTGATGAATGGAAATAGACTTTCCATAAATATTATTATTATTATTATTGTAATTGATGAAAGGAGGAGGAGGAGGAGGAAGAAGAAGAGAAGAAATGGTCATATTGTTTGTTTCTTCATGATTACTAATTAGGTTGATTCTCTTTCACTCCTAATGAGATAAGGTGTGATTTTGTTTATGTGGTGGTTTTTGAGTTTCATTTTTAGGTGGCAACACTTTATTATCTCTTCAATTTGCTACATCCTTCCACATTTTTTCCTAATAAAATATTCCATTCTAACAGAAAAATGTCATTTTACTTGATTTCATTTTATATTTATGTGCTTCATTCAGCACAAGTAGACTCTTAAAACTGAACAAATAGACACACGTGTCGTACGTGGCATCCTACATGACAATTTGTGTCATACGTGTATTATGCCTCATAGGACATAAAATTGAAACCTAGCTTGATTCGAAACTCGAGACCTGAGTCCTGATCCCGACCTAGGACTCGAGATTCGACCTGACCTTGGCCCGAGATCTGACTCTCAATCCTCACGAAGGACTCGATACCCTACCCTAATTCAAAACTCGAGAACCAACCCTAACTTCGGACCCTATCCTAACCGAGACCACAGATCCGAGACTCCAAACTCGAGACCTGACTCATAAAAAATTAAACTAAATCACAAGTAGTAGTTAATACAAATTAAAGTAAATCTTAAATATGGGGTAGAATTGGGATAAATTGAAGATCACTTTAAAGCCTAATATGATATTATCTTATACCAATTCATAAAATTTTGGATGAATTGAGCAAACCAACAACTTTTGGGTCATATTTGACACCCTTATTAAGGACCATATTTTATATTCAGTCACTAAATTAAGATAACCTTTTTCTTGTAGTCTTATAAAGATGATAACATTGGATTTTTTTAAATGATTGTTACTCTTTTCGTAAGCACATATATCTAAATCCACCAAAATTCGAGAAAAAAAAAATATTCCAAGAATTAAATTAGTTCAATTCGATTAGATTTTTCAATATTTATGCCCATTCCTATCCCTTATTTTTGTGTGTTGACTACGTAAGGAATCACAAGTCCCTAAAAAAATTTCAACGTGGAGGGATTGTTTTTGAGGGTGTGATATTATAATAGTTGACTTGCTAATTATTCTCTCTTTCATTTATGAAAAATAATATGACATTGATTCTTGCCCTTTGGTTCATGCAACTCTGCAAAGGTGGACCTAGGGCAGGTTCAACTAAATTCATGGCTTTTGCTCGAACTGTATATTTACGATTGGTATAATACATAAACGTGTCCTTTAATTTAGCTTCAGCTAACATTAATGCCCTCCAAGTTTCGGTATGCGTTGTGCATAAGTAAACACTTAAACTCGAATAAAATTAAACAAGTAAACACATGTATCCTATGTGGCATAACACACATAGACCACCACGTAGGACACAAATTGACATGTAGAATGCTATGTAGGACGGATATGCCTACTTGTTCAACTTTATACAAGTTCAATGACTTACTTGTGCACATCCGAAATTGGACTACATAGATCTCAGCTGAGGCTGAGTAAATAATAAGATCATACTTATTCTGGACGTCCTGCTGAATCAGATATGAGTCATTAGTTGACTTGAGCAGAAAGAGGAAAATTGAATACTTTGTTGTTCTTATTTGCATATTTTTGGTATCTCAATGGATGGATTGGCTGAAACAGGATCTTCTTCTTCTTTGTGGCCATGCACTTATGATGTTTTCTTAAGTTTTAGAGGAGAGGATGTACGGAAGAACTTCGTCGATCATCTATATACAGCTTTGCAGCAAAGAGGAATTCACACTTTCAAAGATGATGAAAAACTTGAAAGAGGGAAATCTATTTCACCTTCACTTTTCAAAGCTATCGAAGAATCGATGATTTCCATCATCATATTCTCTCAAAACTATGCTGCTTCTTCATGGTGTCTAGATGAGCTTGTTAAGATCACTCAATGCATGAAACTCAGGGGACAGATTGTTCTTCCTGTCTTCTATGACGTGGATCCATCTGTCGTAAGAAAACAAAAGGCAAACGTTGGTGAGTTCTTCGCTAGGCATGAGTTAGATTTCAAAGATGATGAAGAAAGGGTGAAGAGATGGCGTACTGCTATGACAGAAGCAGCAAATGTATCTGGTTGGGATTTGCCAAATATTGCTAACGGGTAAAGTTATGTGTACTTTTAACTCTTGGTTTTCGTCTTTCCTATTGTGCCTTGTTTTCCATAAGAACATCGAGTTTGTAACTCATTTCTATCTGATATCAGGCACGAATCAAAGTGTATCGAGCAAGTTGTAGAATGTGTCATGGAGATATTAGGTCATACTGCTTCTGATGCTACTGAAAATCTTGTTGGAATACGCTCAAGAATGGGGACAGTGTATTCCTTGTTGAATCTGGAGTCTGGTAAAGTTCAATTCGTTGGAATATGGGGAATGAGCGGAATAGGGAAAACAACTATAGCAAGAGCCATCTACGACAAGATTTTCCGTTACTTTCAAGGTGCTACTTTCCTTCATGAAGTTGGAGAAACTTCAGCCAAACATGGTATCCAACATTTGCAGCAGATACTTCTTTCTGAGCTACTTCTGTTAAAAGATCTAAGAATAAACAATGTATTTGAAGGAACCAGCTTGGTAAGAAGACGACTAAATGGGAAACGAGTCCTAATTGTTCTTGATGATGTCAATCATGGAAACCAGTTAGATGCCCTAGCTAAAAGCCATGACTGGTTTGGTGCAGGCAGTATAATCATCATAACAACAAAGGATAAGCAGTTGCTTCGTCAATATAACGTGGACAAAATGTATAAAGTGAGTCTGTTAAACACTGATGAAAGTATTGAACTCCTTAGTTCGTATGCATTCCAGAATCGCCTTCCTAAAAGTGGATATGGAGAGATCATAGCTGAAGTTGTTCGGTATGCTGGTGGTCTTCCATTAGCTCTTAAAGTTTTGGGTTGCTCTCTGTATGGCGGAGGCATGATTGAATGGAGAGAAACAGTGGAGAGACTAAAACGAATTCCAGAAGGCGAAATTGTAGAAAAACTCAAAGTAAGTTTCAATAGACTAAGTGAGACCGACCAAAAGATCTTCTTAGATATTGCATGTTTCTTTAAAGGGAAGAAGAAAGGTTCTGTCATTAGAATTCTTCGTAGTTTCAGTTTTACTCCTGTCCTTGGCATAAGAAATCTCATCGAAAAATCTCTTGTAACTGTTTCAAAAGGTAGGATTGTGATGCATCAGTTGATCCAAGAGATGGGTTGGCATATTGTTCGCAAAGAAGCTTCAAACAATCTTGGCAAGTATACTAGGCTCTGGTCTCCCGATGATATTCTTCATGTACTATCTGAAAATAAGGTAAGTTTATATATACTGCAGCATGAAACACGTTTCAATCGTTCAGGAGAAGTTGAATACATAGTTCCCTAATGTTACATTTCATTCCTTTTATAGGCCACAGAAGCTGTGGAAGGCATATGGTTGCACTTACCTATTCCGAAAGACATAAATGTTGGTGCAGAAGCCTTCAAACAAACGTACAACCTGAGGCTGCTCAAGATACACAATGCAAGTGTCTCTGTAGCTCCAGATGATCTTCCTAATAAATTGATATGGCTTCATTGGCATGGCTACCCAATGAAGTCACTTCCAGCAAGTTTTCAAGCAGAAAGGCTTGTTTGTCTGAAAATGCAGTATAGCCGCGTTGTACACTTGTGGAAGGGAGTAAAATTACTACACAAACTGAAGTTTCTCAACCTTAGTCACTCTCAAAAGCTAGTCAGCTGTCCAGATTTCACGGGGGTGCCCAATCTCGAGAAGTTGGTTCTTGAAGATTGTTCGAGTATAATTGAGATCCATCCTTCCGTGGGATATCTCAAAAATCTTGTTCTACTAAACCTGAAGAACTGCAAGAATCTTAAGAGCCTTCCAAACATTATTCGATTGGATAATCTTGAGACTTTAATTCTTTCTGGCTGCTTGAAACTCGAAAATTTCCCAGAAATCATGAGTGACATGAATTGCTTATCTGAGGTCTACTTGGAAGCTACAGATGTAAAAGAGTTGCCTTCTTCAATTGAACACCTCACTGGCCTTCGATTGATGAATCTAGGCTACTGCAGGAATCTTACAAATTTACCAACAACCATAGGCAGATTAAAATCTCTTAGGATTCTTATTCTCTCTGGATGTTCAAAGCTAGAAAAGTTGCCAGAGGAACTGGGACATATAGAAATCTTAGAGGAACTCTATTGCGACGAAACTGCCATTCAAAGCCCACCTTCATCCATTACACTATTGAAGAACCTTAAGACCTTATCTTTTCATGGATGTAAAGGCATGGTATCTCAGTCATGGAGTTCACTTTTCTATGCATGGCTTCAGCCAAGAAAACATAATCACAAGCCAACAAGTCTGATGTTTTCTTCCTTTTCTGGTTTATTTTCTTTGAGGAAATTGGATCTTAGTGACTGTTGTATGTTGGATGAAGGAATTCCTAGTGATCTTGGATGTTTGTCTTCTTTGGTTGAGCTAAATCTTAGTGGGAATAATTTTGTGGATATCTCTCAAGCAAGTCTCAACATGCTTCCGCGGCTCAGAATCCTTGAGCTAGTGGGTTGTGAGAGGCTTGAAAGGTTGCCAGAACTTCCAACAACAATTGAGGAAGTTTTTGCAGATAATTGTACATCCCTGATGACCGATGACATGGGAATATTGACCAACTACAAGATGTTACAGCGAATATCGTTCACTAATTGTGTTGGACTACTGCAGAATCAGCAGACGCGTGACATGGCTACCTCATTGTGGCTTCACCTATTCAAGGTCTCTTTACGTCTTCACCTTTACCTATTGTTATCTTTGTATCCTTTACTTACATACAGTCGAGATCAGACAGTTGATCAGCCTGAGTCTCTTAACTAATATGAATGTTGTAATTGTGTGCTGCAGAAGTGCATTGTTAAAAGTGGTCACTTTAGCATTTACCTACCTGGAGAACAAGTTCCAGAATGGTTTGGCTACAAACTCAATGGAACTTCAGTTTCACTGCAGCTGCCAAACGATTGGTACAATGATAAATTCATGGGATTTGCCATCTGTGTGGTGTCTGACCAAGAAACAACATGGTTATCAGTTCATGAAGGTTACCTACAGGAAATGCCAGGCATTTCGATTGAGTTTACAATCAAAAGCCACCTACGGAGGAGCACGAGTTGCCTAATGAACATTGGTTTTGTAGGGACAAACAAGAATGTTGCTTCAGATCACACATGCCTTGCCTATGTGGCATTTGAAGAATACTGGTCAATGTACAAAAACCACTTAGACACCCCAAACAATTGGTATCAAATCGATTTTTCTGCAAACTCATTGAGGAAACATATATTCCTAAAAAGTTGGGGAATTCGTCTAGTGTACACTGATGACTTACAGAGTTTCACATCTTGAGCGATTTCCAGATGAGGTGTGTTCTCTCTGCTTTATATGCATGCCTGGCTTTTGTAAGTATTTTGAAAATAATAAAGCAAATGTTATACTAAAACATCTCAACCCCATATATTAACAAAGTGCAAACGTTGATCAAAGAGATACGAACATAATCAGCAACTTGAACCAGAAAAAAGGACTGCATTACCACACATTATTAATCAACATAACAATGATGGAAAAACACACAATCTCGATATCTCTTTGATAAGGTACACACAATCTTGGTATATATGCGAAAGAAAAGAAAGCTAGCAACCAAGACAGGAGAGTTGGTTTTTACAAAAATTCCACTTTTACCAACACTAGGAAGAGAATGGATGATTCCCAGACACTCTAATATAGCTGGGGCCACCTCTCCAGTCTACAACAAATATAAAATGCCCCTATTTTTTTTCCCTCCCAGTAGATAGATATGTGAGACCTTAAAATGGATGGAACTAAATAAAAATTGAAAAATAACCGAAAGAAATAAATCCAAACTTGGAAATCTCACCCTCTGTTGCTTCTTTGAGTTCGATTCCAGACAGTTTAATTCTCGTCCTTGTCAGGCACAAACCTTGGCAGTGTCAATAATGTGTTCAGCCGGGAAACCCCTTCCAGTGCAGACCATTCCGCCCCCACCTCTGAGAGCAGTTCCTCATGTTCTGATGCTTCCTCTATCTCTTCTTCTGAAACTTCAACTTCTCGAACAGTTCCAGAACGAGTAAATGCAGTTGGACCTGAGGCATCACCTGTCTTGGCACCAACTTCATTTGCTTTCATTGAGACAGTCTTGTCACTGTCTTCTGTATTGGAAGCAGTGGACAAGTTGTTTGAGTTTGAATCAAGAAAAAGGCAAACAACTGCACAATCATCAACTTTAGAAGTAGGGTATTTTGTCCTCCAGGCTCGAACAGCTGATTCAACTAGCGATCGAGCTGCAGACGAACGGGATGAAGCAGATGCAACAATCTTTACAACTTCATCATTTGTAAGTACATCCCATATCTGTCATAAAAATTAATATAGACTAGGATAAATAAGATGCAATAAACATTGAGCAAAAGAAATACCAGAACCCGTGTATACATTTTTTTAATAAGGGGAATACAAAGTACTAAAAGCTGAAGTTTCATACCCCATCAGTTGCCAGAACAATGAACTCATCTTTTCCTGTTAAACGCCTATATGATATTTCGGGTACAGAGATGAGACCAAAATCCTTCAGGCAAAAATCTCCAAAAGCACGTGCCATGGCAAGTCCAGGAGAGTCACTATTTGGCAACCACACTCTTGCAACCTCTGGTTCATCATGAAGAGAAAAAACACGCCCTCTACATTTACGAATTCTTTCAGCCTCCGCTGTAAAATTAGGAAGAAGAGGAAATTAGGAGAACATTAAATTGAAATAAGCACCAATAGCATTAAACAGTAACCTATCCCAAAAAGATAAAACTAGAATGCTTTCATTTTTGCACCAGGCTTTTATCCGTTTAATGCATCCACCAGAAAAAATCTAAAACTTCAGCTTCCAAGAATTTGCAAAGCAAGCATCTCAACAACCTAGTGAAATCCCACAAAGTGGGCTTGGGGAGGGTAGAGAACACATGCCTTACCACTACCTCTCTGAGGTAGACAAACTACTTTTGGAAGACCCTCGACACAAACAAATCAAAGAAACAATTAAAAGGAAAACGGAAGTGGAGAGAAACATGAAATCTAATAGCAAAACAGTGTGGAGCATATATCCAAGGAACCGTAACAACAACAAGAAGGTGCAATCACCTATACACATTAAACCACAAATGATATCAGATGCCAAAATACACTTACTAGATGAAAAGGCTAATACTACGACCGACACGGTGCTCTATACCACCAAGCCAAATACATGAATAGGCTACTAATATGACAACTCTCAACTATCTAGTAAGTACTAACCTTCTACCCTTCTACCCTTATATGTGAATTACATACCCTTCTATCTATGGTCATGTACTATGGACATGTACCTGGTAAGCTGAAGTTCTGCTATCACCTGTCTAATTAATTCTGTCTAATCACTTCTCCTTAATACTTTTTCGACCTACCTCTACCTCTCTTCGACCCTAAAATATCGTACCTCTCACACCTCCTTGTAGGCATCCACACATCTCCTCTTCACATGCCTTGCCATCTCAGTCTCCCCTCCCTCAACTTGTCCACCACATAGGTCACTCTCACTTTGTCCCGGATATCCTCATTCCTAATCCTATTGCTTCTGGTATGCCCACACATCTATCTCAACATCCTCATTTCCTCCACTTGCATCTTTTGAGCCTAGTGTTCTTAACTAATCAACACTCCACCCCATAAAACAGAGCTGGTCTAACCACTATTCTATAAAACTTGCCTATAAGTTTTGGTAGTACTTCTGGTCACACAAGACTCTGGATGCAAGCCTCCACTTCATCCGAGCAGCACTAATATGATGTATGACATCATCGTTGATCTCCCAATTTCTTTGGATCAAAGACCCAGATATTTAAATCTTTCTCTCTTTGGGACAACTTGTGTATCAAGTTTTAACTCCACGTCTGCCTCATGCTAAACATCACTGAATTTTACACTTCAAATACTTTGCCTTGGTCCTGCTCAACCTGAACCCCTTTAGACTTTAAAGTTTGTATCCACACCTCTAACCTATTGTTAACTCCGACATGAGTCTCCTCGATCAAAACAATGTCATTTGCAAATAACATACATCATGGCACCTCACCCTGAATATGTAGTGTCAATTCATTCATCACCAATGCAAATAGAAGAGCCAAGTGTTGAACCCTAGTACAACCCCATCTCAACTGGGAAATGATTTGAGTCTCCTCTTGTTGTTCTTACTCGAGTCTTGACTACATACATGTCCTTTATCGGCCCAATGTAAGCCATTTGTGCACTTTTTGACTCCAAGCATCATGAAAGGACTTCTCATTTCCTCTCCTTGTATTTCTCCATCAGTCCCCTCCTCACAAGATGAATGTAGACAGTAGTTGATTGCCCTACCATGAATGCAAACTGGTCCCCTCATCCTCATCTCCACCACCTTCTCCCAATCTTTCATAGTGTGACTCGATAATTTTATACCCCTATAATTGTTGCAATTTTGGATATCACCCTTAATCTTGTACTACGGAATCATTGTACTCCACCTCTTCGTCATGCATTTCTCAAAAATGACATTAATCAACCCAATCAGCCACGCAAAACTTGCCTTGTCTATGAATTTCGAAAACTCAACCGAAATTTCATCAAGTTCGATTGTCCGTTCATCTTACACTGCAGTCTTAACCTCCTCAACCTTACAACACTTACAATATCCACAATATCCAAAATCCCACCGACTCTCTGAGTTCTCTAAATCACCCAACATGATGTCTCTGTCCCCTACTTCATTCAAGAGAGATTTTTCCGTCCTATTTTTTTTCATAATATGTCTTAATTTCTTCCAAATTAAGGTAACTGCATTCCACTCCATTTTACTTCACTTCAGTTTGATAACACAAGTGATCTTTGTTGATAACTGGTCATGGATGTAAAGAGCTTCAAGTGCACATCACTTAAATTATAGGAAGTTTAAAAAGCTGTCTTGAGAACATGAGACTTCTAAGGATACAAGAAGACCTTTAGCCGAGGAAGCAAGATGGATAGAATTGGCAGTACAGAAAATTTGAAGAACTGCAAGATTTCAACATAAGCATAATTTATAAGAACTGCAATTTGTCGAGAAGGGAAAACATCTCAAATACCAAATCTTTTGGAAAGATTTGCTCCTTATATTCATTTATCATAGTGGATGTGATTGCATTGACAGTTCAATTGCCACTAATAGTAAGTAGTTTCTACATTAAGGGAACACCTTAAGTAGATGATTTCACCATTAAGATCTCCTCAACCAATACCCTGATACTGCACCTACACATAGATGAGATCCTAATACTTCTAGTTATGCAACACTTCAGTCAACAAAATAAGATTAATTCATCACACTTTGCCAATGTTTTCATATTCATCCACTATATAGTTCTGCAGAAGCACAACACTTTCAAACATGCAGTGCACCCACCCCGATGTTATATTTGGGGAAAATACATAAATTATAAAAAAATTTGGTACAAGATAAATTAGTAAATTACTCCCTAAACTTGCCATCAGAGGCGGTTACGCACAAACTTCACGGGTCCCCCTTACCCCCTTATTACTGAAACTCCATCAAGAAACAGCTAGGAAACTACTCTTTAACCCTCATAAATATGTAATATAACCAAACAAACCCTCTAATGCTGCAAGGAGGCCAAATGCTTCCTTTCTCTTCTTGTCTATCAATGTGAAAATTGATTTTATCAAAATAATGACTATTTATTTTCAAGATAATTTCATAAAAACAAATAGAGCAACATAAAAGAATTCCTAGAAACAAGGAGATGGTAAAATGAATTAGAAAAAGAAAAGAAGACAGAAGCAAATTACAAGTGAGATTGCTCATTGTGGCAAGAGCACTCCACTTCCAGCCAAGAGGTTGGAGTTCCGGTGGGAGCAAAGTAGGAAGAGGGTCACTGCTGACAACTCGGAAGTTGGTTTAAAAGTCGGATTTACTTCATCAAAAGAAAAAAAAAGAAGAGAGGACAAAATAGAACATAGTATCTGTTTTTTTTAATTAAGGATAGAACATGGTATCTGTTATGGTGATTGATGGGCACCATACAGAAGCTCAGTTCTTTTCCTTTCCAAGTCCCTCTAACTTTAACCTCTATTTTCCCTCATTGGAAAAGGTTACTTCTATAATTGCAACATAACAAACAATTTTTTTTTTTTTGAATCAAAGCCAAAAGAAAAAAGGTCACTATGGTTCATAATCGAGTTGAAGAGAAGCAACTATTGCAGCAAAATTGAAGTTTGTACATTTAGGGAAGGCCAAAATAGAGAGGAGAGACGAAGGTAAATGAAAGGAAGTTTTAGCAACAAATGAGTAATGGTTAGGTAAAATGAAGTTTTTATGCCAAACTAAATGACATCATAATTCATCAAATCAACACAAGTTGGTAATCTTGTGAGATGATCAGCACAAAAGCAAAAATCCAGAAAATTGATCCATCATCAGTTCAATCAGCCCTATGCAATATAATGAAACCAACCTGGTAGATTAGGCTTCAGATCCACTGTCAATTGTACAGCAGTTAGAGAACCATCTTTGTCTCTGGTACCTAGAATTGCTCGGGAGTCGCCTACATTTCCTATAACAAGATCCTGGCCCTGCAAGAAAAGGAATTAATGGGGTTCATTCTTCCAAACGTTTCAGCATAATATCGAGCTAGATTCAAATTTCTGGATCTGTCAAGGACCTGTTTAATAAGGGTTACAGCTGTTGTCCCACTACAGAAGCAGTCAATATTAGTGTAGCTTTTCAGTTCCCTGTCCATAACCTTATAAGCCTTCAAAAATGATTCCTTCAAAGTCTGAAAGATCTCTGGGTGCTTTCCAGTCTCTTCAACATCAATTGAAACCCTAGAGTCATCGGCCGCGGATATAAGGGAAGCATCCTCGGGATATAGGCTAGCCCCAGCATTTAGACTGATCTCCTTTAGGACATCCTCACTTTTCAGACTAACTTCCCAATGTGCACTTAGCTTCGAGGGAAGGGAATCTCTGACTCGCTTGGCAACCATATGGCCATGAGGACCGTGGCCATCAAAAACACCACAGAATACAGTATCTGTTCTGGAAGCGAAGTTCTGAAATTTCATCATAAAAGATGTATTAGGAGATGCTCACCATATAAGACAAAATCACAACGGAAGGATCACTAGGAAAAATCAGTGCAAGAATGAAAAAATGTGAACAAATCCTCTGTCGAACAACAATCCACAAACTACAAAGAAAAGAAAGAAATGGCAAAATCTAAAACATAGCTTGATAAAAAAATGGACAATTCCTTTCTAGGCATGTCCAGGAAACTATAGCCTATCAATCTAGAAAGAATGTTATCAGTAGCTAATCACAGTATCTGATACATTATCGTGTTATTATCCTATTTTCTCCCACATGCATCCACTAAGTTCTCGTTGTTCTACAGAATCGATTGCCAATTTTATTTTATTTTTTTGATTGGTGGATTTTTCATGATTTTATCTTTAACCATCCATGCCTTTAAATGGGAATGGACATGAAGAACAAGTCTGTTAAGTTCCACTGTAATAAATAAACTGACTATGCCTCATCTGATGCTAGCAAGGTCAATAATGTCAAGCCTCCTATACACAAAACAAACTTGAAACCTAAAACAAAAGGGGGAAAATAGATTTTGAGTTTATCCATTCTGAAAGATGATTTCCTGGAGAAGCTTGAAGAAGATAATGACCCGATACAAGTGAAGCACAACTAGTAGGAAAATTCTTTTTGATAAACAACTAGAAGGTTTTCAACTATCCTACAACAAGAGACAAAAGAAAAAAGAAGAGAGAAGGTTTCTAGAAGAGAACACATTATGCGCAGTAGCGGAGCCACCTTGTCCCTTCACTGAAAAAATACAATATGCAAATATGTAAAGGAAAATCCTTTTTGTATCTATAGTATCATTCGTTGAGTCCCTTGACTTCTTCATGTGTTAATTTTATTTTTTTAATATTTTGACTCCCATTAATGAAAATCCTAGCTCCACAGTTGATACGGCTTGTTAGAGGACCCTTTATCAGCTGACGAAAAACAACAAATGTCACAGTTATAAGTAGTCACAAATCAGAGGGTTAACATAATACTCAGGTGAACAATCTAAGATCAAACACACCCAATATATGAAGTACAAGAACTACGTAGGCAGCCTATAAAAGCATAGTCCAATATAACTATGTGCAACTATAGTAAGATGAATTTGAAGGACTAACCTCCCAAACAACCATGGCATCTTGATTCGTTCCTTTCTTGCCTTGCTGAGTGAAGAGTGAAGCTGCCTCGCTCGATCCATTCAAGAACAATCGTCCAGGAGTCTTACGCAGCTGTTCTTCCTTGCATTTGTTGAAGGAAGAATTCCTAGATACCCTCCTACTCTTCTTCTTCTTAACTCCAACAGCAGATGTAGGAGAACCCGGAACAGGGGTCCTGCTTTCATAAGTTAAGCAGGACCCCGTCCGGAGTGCCCGGACTATATTCAATAAACAATCCAGAGCACCAACACAACCAACCCCTCTATTCTCCGTATTCGAATCCGTCACACCCGTTTTCTAATTACAAAATCCTACAATAATTTTTTTTCAAATTCCAAATACCCAATTCTCCCCTCAATCCAACAAATCCACCCTTTTCATCCAAAAACATCAAAAAAAAAACAATTGCCAAATTAAAAATCTTTCAGCCTTAAAAAGTGCTGAACCTTTTACAATCTTGAATTTATACTTTTTTTCACCTTTCTATCAAAAAGGGGTTGCAGATCTATGTAAAAATAAGCGCCCCCACTTGCACCAAAATGATACCTTTATGAGTGGTTGCAAAGGCAAAGAATCCACCAGCTCAAAGCATAATACTCATATGAAAAGGAAACTAATAGAGAGATCGAATCTGAAGAAATGAAAGAGGAATGAATGAGAAGAGAGGAAGATTGAGAGGAGGAGAATAAGAATCGCAACAAACTAAAACAAGGAGAGAGATTAGAGATCACACAAAAACCGCAAACACAACTTGTGTCTTTATTTATTTCTTCACTAAATTTTAGAGAGACACACTTTTTTTTGTTCCATATATATGCATTGCCTTGTAAAAATATCGTGTCTCTCGTTGATTTGACACACCTATTAAAAGAAATACGTAATAAATTATTTTTTAACTTTATTGGATGTAATTGAAAAGTGTGTTAATAATCAAATGTTTTTTTCATCCTTAATTATTTATTTATTATTAAATTCACACTTATTTAGAAAATTATAATTCAAATAGTAGTTTGTCATTTTACTTTTATTAATTATAAAGTGGATGAATTAAAAAATTAAGAGTTTCAAATAATTATACCTTTTTCAAGAAATCATAAATAAAAAATAGAATGAACAATTAATTAAAAATAAAGAGATTAAAATTTAATAATAAAAATAACATAAACACACAAAAAATAAAATATTCCTTGTTTTTTTAAAAAAAATTGAATAGCTATTATTAATATACTACTGTAACAATTATTGTTAAGCCAGAAGTTTTATATACATATATATCTATATATGGGAAAAGTGGGTAGAGATTGGAGCTATCTATGGCTGCCATGCATCTCTGTCACTTTCATCACCAAATGCTATTCTAACTCTTTATATATTTTTTTCATTCACCCTCAACTTGACTTATTTGAAGCTATTTCTAGAGTGAAATAATATGAATTTTGTTCATTATTTTAAATTATATATTTTTTATTTCAATTATTTTAACTAGGCATGGAGAAGTTCTTAAAAAAAGAAAAAATTTGAAAATTTATGATTTGAAATAAATCATACATATTTGTCCGACTTGAAATTATTCATTAAGAATAAAATATGCATTTTAAATAAAATTGTTGCTAAATTTAAAAATATGTCATTCTGTTTTAGATTGAATAAAAGAAATGATAGTCGTATAAATTGAGGCAGAAGGAGTAGTATTTTTCGTATAATTTTTAAAAAATTTAAATATTGACTCACATAAAATGAAACAGGAAGAGTAAAAATGAATGGAGAGTACTCTTTAGCTTATTTACATACTTGATAAACAACCGAAGTACCTACAAATCAAGTGATTAAAAGCTCAAATCAGTCAAAAATAATAGCTTATGATTTTTCTAACTTATAAACACTTTTAATTTGACCATGAATTTTATTATTTTATCTTTAATATTATCTTTTTAAACTCTCAAAATATATTTCCTAAATTAGAATATATTAATGCATAATTACCCCGTGAATTTTATTCCTTATTTTCAAGATAACACTTAAATTTTGCGAGACTCTTATTATTCACCCAAACAACTTAAGGTGGTACTAACGGTGCAAGGTTAGAAATTGGAACAAATTGATTTCGCTCGTTTCTTTAGGGCATGTCCCTCAGTGTGGTCAGTACTTCATATTGTCGGACAACAAAGCTTACACTTGTTCACTAATTATGACGATTCACATGTGGTCTCTTTTGAGCAATTCTAATTTTGAGAAACAAAGTTAGTTTTACTAATTAATTACTAATGACAACTTATTAAATATAAAAAGATTACAATAAGGAGAGACTCACCTAAAATTTAAGTGTCTTTTTAAAAATAAGATACAAGGTTAGGAGGGGATAATTATATATTATATCTCAAAGTAAAACAGCTAACATCATATTCAATCTATACCCATTGTTTCTCCTTTTCTTTACAAGGTTACTAACTAATTTGGTAAAGTTTTTGTAAAAAATGTAAGGGTGTTTTAGTCATTTTAAATAGAACAATTTATCATCACTTTTTTTTAATCAAATTGGTCCATTGTATATTATGAATTTCTACACTTCTAGCCTAGCATATCAACTACTTTGTATCAATTTTAGCACTATTATCCACATAGATAATCAACTATATATAAAATCGATTTCAACATTCAAAACTCGCATTTGAATTTGCATCACTAAGATTCCTGGTTCATTTTCGATTACTAAAACACTGATTACAATAACCTATAAATATTGTGATAATGATCAAATAATATTACTGTATAGCAGTACAAATTTATCATTTATTTTATACTTATAATACAATAATAGTAAAGAAAAAAACATGTCTTGATCATGACAATAATAATATAATTTTCTTTTTGAGTAAAATAATTACACGACATTATCATATCATAGTACACAAAATTGATTATGAGCTCTAAAAGAAATGTTGTGTAACTATATGAGGAAACATTGTAATTGTAACAAGTCTCAAAAGAAACTTTTTAAGTTTCCAAGGAATTGAAAAGAAAATAGTATAATATTGAGACTATAAAATATGAAAAGACTTAATATCTTTAGATTACTCTAATCATAGCGACTTATAAACATTTAAGCGAAAGATTATCTGCCTTTTTAATCTTGTTTGTTCTATACAAACATGAGTATGATGATGAAATCGCATGGAAAATAAACTAAAAGTTTTCTAAAATTATGATCAGTTGGTCATTTCGATTCAAATATGACGTAAAAGTAATTGAGAATTCACGTGGCTTTATATTAAAGAAGTAAAAGATTCTTCAATAATTATCTTGTGTTGCTTGTCCTCATGATAAAATGATCACTATATCAACTAAGGTTGAAATTGCATCCTCTTAAATTTTGAAACATATAGTGAATATTCGTTCATCGTCTGTCACGTGGGCCGTTTGCAACTATATGATTCTAATAGTTGCATATATAAGATGGACGCATGTGCTTTGTTGTCAACTTACAAATTGATTTTCAATACGTTATTTGCTCGAATAGTTAAAATAAGAACACGATTTCAAAAATAAAATTATGTTGACAATGTTGGTTGGTTAGCCAACAATGTTTTCCATTACAATTGGTTAAGAGTCAGGAGTTAAATAATATTCATCTAAAGTTAAGTCTGTGACATCTAATTTGATTGTTTCATCACGCACAAAGATGAATTGACAAATGAAGTTGGGATGAATGTTAAATTTTCTAATATTACAGAGAAAGAGATGACTAACAATTGAAAATTATGTGTGAAAAAATTATTTAAATCCTAATTTAAAATGTGAACTTAAAATTCATGAGATAATTCATTTGCAAAATGTTGCAAATCAATTGTCACATATATTTGTTGATCCTATATTATAGTTCAGTTTTAAATACTTCAATAAGAAGTCTCTAAATGACAAATTCAATGATACATTTGTAGTGTTTTAGATCATGAGATTACAAAGATGAAATTTCTATCTAAACATTTAGTTCTGAAAATTCTTGTCATAACCTTATTACTACTAAAAATAATTATTGCGACTTTTAGAGATTTCGTAAAAACTTTAATTGTCAAAAAAAAAATGAGTTTCTTGTAGTGGCTAAAGGTAAATAATACAATATGTATTTCATCATGCATACGTGTATGTTTGTATGCAATTTTAAATTATATTTGGATATATGATTAGGAAGGAGTAGGGGTGTGCAAAAATCGAATCGACCAATAAACCGAACCGATAAAATGTTATTGGGTTATTGTTATTGGGTAATTGCGTTATTGGATTTTTAATGGATTTAGAAAAAATAATTATTGGGTTACTGAGTCGGTTTCGGTTTTTCCTATTGGGTTATTGGGTAAACCGATAACCCAATAAGACGAGAGTTATTTACTACTTTACCCTTCCTCAATATTAAATATACATAATTTAATACATAAATAGATTCAATATTAGCTTTTCAGGCTATGTGATTTTTTGGTTAAGAAATTGTTGAGAACTTTGTTGATTATTTGGTGGAGCAAGCAACTGTTCAAGATTGTCTCATTGAAATATTTTATTTTAGTTTTAATTCTAGTGCAAGTTTGTGAATGTTAGTAATTTGATCAACATTCAAAGTTTTCTATTATGTTTTGGCGGTAAGTTGGTAACATGTAATTATAACATACGTACCATTATATATTATTTGATCAACATTTTCTTATTGGGTTAACCGAAATCGAACTGATAACATCAAAAACCGATAAATCGATAAAAATATTCTTATTGATTTGTTATTGGGTTAGCATATTTTAAAACCGAAAACCGATAAACCGAACCGATTATATATACACCGAACCGAATCGACCGATGCACACCCCTAGGAAGGAGCGAAGAAAAGAAAGAAAGATTCTGATAGGGAAATATTTTGATGGATCGAAGATTTAAGAACAAAATCAAAAGAAAAGAATATGTCTTAAGAAAGTAACCACTAAACATTATATTATATCTATTGGTGTTTTATAATGGAATTAAGTATATTCCTTTCTTTACATAGGCTTAAATTTACTAACTTTTTTATATATAAAGTTCTTTCTTTCTGTTTGGTTTAAGTGTTGATTATAGGATCTTCCTTTGCTTTTTCTTTCCCCTACTAGATAGATTTAGAATTTTTTTATTTTTTATTTTTTAAAAAAATTGCTCAATTATGAGATAACTAACAACTAATTAAAGAAATCATGTTTGTAGAATTGATCAATCAAAATATCATATCAACCATATTATAAACATAAATTTTTTAGCATATTTTTATTGGCAATTTGGCTTCATAATTGAATTCAAGATGTCATATAAATGTCCAATTAAATAATTAGCAAGATTATTAAGATCCACTGTTTGGTAATATGAATTTACATTATTCAAATTCGGACTCGATTGATTGTTTGACTTAATTTTATATTAGAGTTTATGGTGATTTCATTATTTTTAATTAGAAATTTCAAATTTGAGCTTTAAATATAACAAAAATCATGTTAGAAGCAGTATTCCTAAAATAATTTCTACAATGCACAATTCAAATTTAATCACGATTCCATTGGGGCACCAAAAACACCAAACCCTCTAAACAAATAAATAATCTTATACTAGTAGTAAAGGATCATATGGAGGGGGTTTTATTTGGCCCTATTTATAGATGCATAATATAATGGGAAAAAAAGGTATTTGAATGGATACCGTTGCTAATTTAAGGGGTGGAGCCGGAATGAATTTCTTCGATAAAAAATTACATTATCTATATATATATATATAGAGAGAGAGAGAGTTAATTTTTTTTATACATATATGTATAATATTAAATTCCTTTTGATTCTTTGTATATCTTTTTTTTTTTTCATATTAGAATTTTTTCTTAATAAAAATCCCAAGACTTTCGAAAAGGTATTTGTACCATCCTATTGGAATAATTAACAAAGAAAAGTATAAGAGAAATTTTCTTTCACCTAACTTGGAAATGTTTTTTTCAACACATCCTTGGTTTCAAATATTACTTTTATATCAGTAGTCAACTCAATACAAATTCAGTGGGTTGAATAGAACTTTCCCATTGTATATAAAAAAATAGAAGTGTTGGAAATCATTTAAAATTTAAGTTGTTATTGGTTTACATCTTCTAGATATTAAAGTTGTCATTGGTCTAAATTTAATCAAATCTATTATAAAATTATATTATAAACCAATTATGTAGGATGTCATGTATGTAATCATAGATAAACTAATTAAAGGGGATGATGAAAAATGTCCTTTCAAACTTTTGGAGGAAACATTATAAATAACTTTTATATAGTTTGATAAGGAAACTTTCAAATACAAACTTAAAAATATATTTAAAATTTTGAAACTCTAAACTTAGTTTTCACTTACACTATTTTTCTTATTCAAATGTTATCCTAAGTTTTAAATATGTATAAAACTGACCTCATTTAAATCATATCAAGATTTCAAGAGAAGTACTCATATGTTCAAACAATCAAACATTATTTGTAAACTTATTCACGGATTCAACTCCATCTTCAATTCCAGACTCAAAAATCCAAATAAAGTGAAAATGATATATTCATCATAATATGTAGCAGATAGTATATATGATTTAATATATTACATTATGTGACTATCTATTTTAAAATATTACCTTTTTAGAATTGGATTGAATATTTGAGGTAAATTAGTCAGGTTGGACGGCTTTGCTTAGATTTTAAAAATTAAGGGGTATTAGAGATAACCTCTCCATATCTAAGATATGAATTAAGATCTATGTATATTTTTTATATTCCTCAAGGAG